ATATATATATATATCTACAAAGGAAGAGAAGCCAGAGTGCGCGGAGTCTCCCAGAGCATTTCAGGAATTGCAGAATTTCCCCGGGGAGGAGGCGGCGCCCGAGGCGGCTCCCGAGGCGGCTCCCGAGGCGGCCCGCGAGGCGTCGCCTCAGGGCGGCGGCTCCTCGGGAAGCAGCGCGGAGAGGGCGGGAAGGGCGCCCCGCGGGCGGGAAGGGGGTCCCGCGGGCGGGAGGGGGGTCCCGCGGGCGCTGAGGGGACGCGGGCGCTGAGGGGACGCAGTCGCGCCCGCGCTGGAAGCGCGGCTGCCAGCGGCGCCTTCCCACGCGGAACTGGCCCCCAAACCCGAACGTGCCGCCTCAGGGCTGCTACGTGGGCGCCCGCGGGGACTGCGCCAGCCGCCGTGCGGGACATCGCGTGCGCCTTGCGGGACGCTGCAGCGTGCGGGACACCAGACACTGCGCCATGCGGGACACCGCGCCACGCCGTGCAGGATGCCGCGCCGTGCGGGACGCCGGACACCGTGCCATGTGGGACACCGTGCCGTGCATGACGCTGGCAGAGTTCAGCAGAGGAAGCTGTGCGTTTCCTCGAGTTTAGAAATAACCGGCTGCTTTGCTTTCTGAAAGCACTGGCTGTCTGGTCCCTCATAATATTCCCAGTGGTTTGGTCCCTCATAATATTCCCAGTGGTTTGGGCCAAAAAAACCCAGCTTATAGACAAGCCACGGGTCTTGGACTAGATGATCTCTAGAAGTCCCTTCCAACCTCAACCATTCTGTGATTCTTTAATAGCAGCCCTCAGGGCTGGTCATACATCTCGTTCCTTGGGAGAGTAACCCCATCTTCTTACTGCTCCGCTTCTGCACGCAGGCTGTGTCCATCCTGCTCATACCTGATTTATGTATCGAAATATCACCCTGAGCTGCTCAGCTTGTCTTAGGAGGCCATAAAATTAACTGGGGTCAATCTCCTGCACAGATATAGGGCTACTACCATAAGTAATTTATGGAGCAAGATGGGGTGTGAACCTCTAAGCAATGGTCTATATTAAGCCTAGAAGTATACAAGCCTTGGCTTTTATTAGGAGAGCTAGCAGTTGTAATAAAAGATATTACCTCTCCCACCAAATTTTGTGTTTGTAATAAAAGATATTAGCTCTCCCACTGAGTTTTATCTCGTTAGACATCAAAGCTACAACATAACTCCATGCACCAGAGTAAAACACTAGTTGCGAAGAAAGAGGAGCTTTTCTTTTTTAAAAAGCTTCTTTTCTACTTCCTACTGCTCAAGTTCAGAAATGTGTGTATGTATATTTATATAGGCTTCTTGCAAACCCTACAAAGGAAGATCCTAGTAACTTCTGCAATTTCCTATTAAGAAACATTCTTTTCCTATTGATTCAGCTGGTTTTGTTCTTAATTTCCTATGAAAGTGTGTAAGGGGCTGTGTAAGGTGAATTCCACCCAGTGAAACAGAAACACCTTTACATTAAAACAAGTCATATTTTGCAACAACAGTCATATTTTGCACTCACAGAAATACAGGCAGCTTCCATAAAGCACTGGCAAAAAAGCGACATCCAAAACTGCTGAATTTGCTTTGAACTTTTCCAGTACTTGCTTGCATCCTGGTAAGTGCATTAGGCATGATGATATTGACCACTTTTTATAGTAGAAAACTGATCACTGTAAATTGATACCAATTTCCTTATAATCCTAGTACGCCACATGGATATGACTTGGGGTGAGTTGGGTTTTTCAGAGATACTGTTTGTTTGAAACAAGTTGTTTATAACATGGGATACTTTCATTTTACAAGTTGATTAAAAATCTTTTTTTTCTTCTAAATATATCTTTACTGAGGACTTAACTCCCTATTTTATCACTTTACAGTTCTTTTAAATATTGTTTTAATTGTTACTTGCTTATCCATGGCTAGCTTATCTTCTTGTCAACGTTAGAATGTGTAAAAGCACAGGTCACTGTTTGCAAGTCATCATTTTTATTAAACTCGTACAACTGGAAACAACAGATAACCTTTTGGATGTTTAGGCCTCTCTTCAGGCTTGAAACTGAAGCAGTAAATTTTGAAAGTAATTCTCAGCTTGCACTAACTGCTCCAATTTTAACTAGATATTCAAATAATCTGAAAAATAGGCAGTGGTTACCTGGGGAATAGGTGGGAAATGTTAGTAGAAGCATGGGCAGTAGGATGGTTCTCTTTCTAAAAAGAGAACATGCAATGTGCAGCGGTTGTTTTGTTGTACCTACTTTCCAAGAGAGTGTTTGATAAACTACATGAAACATTACGATAACATTAGCTGTATTTTTATCCACACACAAAAAAAGTCTTGTTCATGACCTTAGACCAGACCTTAGAGCAGTGACCATAAAATCATGAAACATTTTTGCAAACAGTGACAGCCTTAGATATGCACGTCCAAATAGCAGACCATTCTACTACTACCCAGGTATTTTTATTGATGAGAAAGCACCGGTAAATTTTAATTCTGGTTATGTTTCCAGTCACATTTTATCAGCTGACATTTGTATTTTTATGCCTTTGATTTTTCTTCCAGCAATGGAAAAGAGCATACGGGATTTAGCGACACATGTTATCTGTGTAGATAAGATGCATAGTTGGTAGCCCTTCTTCAATCTCAGAACTGGGTAATTTTAGCAAGCAGCAAGCAGCCTGACCTTTGTTGTAAGCCAGATGCAATTTGCAGACAAATATAGGTATTAAAATAATATCTTGGCTTCCCTCGTATTGAAATCCTGTGACTCCAGCAGATAGTGAAGAACAAAACAACGTGATGAGGAACAGAATGACTGCTGATAAATCTTCCTAGCTGGAGGGCACACACCATTTACTTGCCCAGGGAAATAAAGAAGTGTTTTGAAGCAGTAAGACCTTTCTATTGCTAAATACATTAGTCAGACTGAGTTGTTGAAGACTGGAAGAGAGTCCAAATCCTCTTAATCCAGGGAGAAAGGATTTACCAGTAATTTTACATGAAGAAGCTTTAAGTACCATCAAAAAAAAAAAAAAAGTGATCTTACTCTTCAGATAATTTGTGGAAAAGATTTGTAATTTTTGTATTTGTCTTGAAAGTCATAATCCTCTGCTATGCTTTTGCTTGACATTAAATATTAATAGATATTAAATATGAGGGTCAAATTAAAAACTTTGTTAAACTAACAATTTACAGATGTAAATTGAGAGGGAGGAAGACAGGAGGTTCTTCATTTCTGCCACTGTACTGTGCCAATTCTATGTGTAACCTTTAATTGCTTAATAGTATTTAAATGCCCTAATTTGAAAGAGGACAGATTATTGGCCTAATCTGAGGGGAAAAACCTCCAGACTTCTAGTAAACAAAAAATATTACTTTTGGTAGGGGTTGTGATATTTTCAGTAGGCTAAACCTTGAGCAGTAAAGGATTTATGCCTTACAGCTTGCTGGATGTGAAAACCCTTTTAAAATAACATGTTGCAGTGGCGACGATCTTTCCGTGAGCTTCAAACCACCTAATGAAGATTAAAATGTACCCAAAGTAATCTCATGCAGATGGTCCCAGCAAGAATAAAAGACCCACCCTTCTACTCCCTGCTTACCAAACACACAAAGTTGGCTCAGTCATTTATTTATTTTGAAACTTTGGGGATTTTTTTTTTGCACAACGTCACTTCTGACACATAACAACTAGCCAACGTCAATCTTAGTGTTGCTTTCTAGCATTTAGTATCAAAAAGTTTACCTGTAACACTGATAAAAGTTCAATTTACAAAACTGGCACATCATCCAAGTAAGATTTATTAAAAGTTTAGTCATAATATCTATACAATGTCTAGAAAAATACTGTGTTAATTTTAAAAAGGAAGAGTATGAAATTTTATGGTACAGTACAAAGACTATGTTAGCTGTCACTAAAGATGATATTGTATTATAAATACTCATTTTAATCTAAGCTTAAAATACATTATGTCAGTTTTAATAGAAATATCCCAAAGGGCTTCACCCCTCTTCCAGACTTCCATCACGAGCACAATCCTCAGGGTATTTTAGAATACAAAACACACTGTAGGTAAATTTTTACTGCAAAGTTCGTGATCGCCAAGATATAAAGCTAAAATAGGTATTCCCAGCATAGCAGGAGGTAACCAGGAAGGCAAAGAACTGCAGAGAGAGAGAGAAAAAAAAAACAATAAAAATATTAGAATATATATTTTAGAGCATCCTCATCTCTATGAATAATGGGGTTTGTGAAGAGGAGGAATAGCAGACTGAAGGGGCATTCTCTTTCCTCCTGGTCCTTGTGTGGCCTCACACTCAACACTGGGTGACCAGGCTCACATATCCATGGAAGCACGTGCCTGGAAGCAGCCAAGAAAGGGCCTATCTCCATTTGTGCTCTCCATATCCTGCTGCCTCAGTGTCGATCTCGCAGCTGAGGTGCCCACCAGCCCTGCACTTGCTGCCCGGCCCATCCCTTGCTGGCGAAGACCAGGGCAGAGCCCCAGGCTCAGCTCAAGCCGACACTGCTGCTCTGCTCCAGGGACTGCTGGAAACCCTCCTATATTCTCAGCTTATCACACCTGGCATCCAAACAGACTGTTTACAGGGAAACGTTGGGTTCAAAATGCAGGCCTAAACACGTGCTTAAACTGAGGCCAACAGGCTCAGTGCAAACCTGCCCCATCAGCCTGGGACTGATTCCAGTGGGCTTTTCCCGAGCGCAGCTTTTCCTCAGTGCAAATACCGGTGGCTGCAAGCAAGTTGAGATACTACCTTTTTGTTAGAAATTGGTCACAGAACAAGCCTTCTTGGCTCATTTTGCATTTCAAAGACTGTAAAAACTACACGTATCAGTGGCGTGGCTTCTAAGAGTCCTCGCAGCATAGGCACATGGAGACAAAAGAGAGTTGGTATTGATCAAGTCCAGTTTGGTGCCAGCAGTAGAGCTGCTGTTAATCACTGCAGCTTGATCAAAAGAGACAGCTTACGGTAAGGCCATAATGTCTTGTGCTGGTGGTCTGTGCTGGTAGCTGAACCAAATAAAGCTGAAGCCTGCCCCTGGCTTAAGGCTACTTTTCTTGAAGGTGAGCAGAGATGGCACAAGAGGCTATGCCAATATCCAGCCTTGGAAAAACTCAGAACTCAACTGGAAACAAATCCCTGAGCAATCTGTTAGTCCTACTTTGAGCAGGGGATCAGACCAGACAATCTTTACAATCCATTACAGCCTAAATTATTCTCTGCTTCTAACATCTCTGGATAAGCACTTCAGCTACAGGCACTACTGTGCATGTACACAGGCAGTAAACCTAAGTCCTCCAGTAAAGGACTCTTGGTGAACTTTGGTCTGTAGCACCAGAAATGGTAGATGGTGATGCAAAATGACTAGGAAAATGTAGGCTTCCTTATTTTCAAGAATTTTGTTTCTTATGAAATAAAGCTCTTTTTTTTTCCCAACAGAAATGCTCTTTGGGGGATAAATAATTTGCTAAATTCTCACAAGCACATAAAAATTCATAATTGATTCAGACAGCAAGAATCTCCATTTAATAAAGTTTATGCAGACAGTATGTTAGATGAATAATATTAGGAGATATTAGGAGAGTTTCCAAACGTCCCAGGAGATATAGAGCCTCCATGCACTTTGCATAAAATCTGAATCTGCAAGGAAGCTTATCTAGCACCAAACAAGCTCCTGTCAACAGCACTCGCTGAGTAATCGCTCAGTAGCTGTGAGGTGCCAAAAGGAGAAGACCTGGAACGCCACAGAAGAAGCAGGGATGCAGTTATGCAGCTCCTAAGACAAAAATAGAGCAGGTGCTTAAGTTTCTGTGTTCACCACTACACAAAATAAGGGGCGGACAAAAAGGCAGGACTTGTGAACAGCCCAAAGGGGACAACTGCAATGCACCAACAGTCAACAAAGTAGCTGTTATTCAGACTTACTCTATTAAATGAACTTGAACAGTGCTGCAATAAGCAAAGAGTTGCTCTAACTATCTAGGGAAGGTCTTTACCTATTCAGGAAGTGATTAGGCTTTTAAAAAATGTGTGTTTTCTTTTTTTCTGTTTGTTTTTTTTTTCCCCCACGTCAATTTGCTGCCTTTAATCTTAAAATTTAAGTAGGAAGGCAGTAATGTCAAACTAATTAATGATTTGCATCCACTTTAAAACACTTGGAAGCTGCATCATCTCAATCCAGAGAGCAGATTATCAGAGGTAATGGCTGGATAGGAAGACGGCTGCAGAAACAGCAGCACCACGTCAAGAGCTTCCCGAAAGGGCTGTGTGCACCATGAGTTCCCTTCACAGAAAGGGGAATGCACCTTATCAGCTTCAGTGTGAGGTCAGCTGAGGTAGTTCACGCTGCTTTTGAGTTACTTAAGTGCACTGCAGTGATTCACTGCTCACTCAGTTTGTTAACTCTGATGCCCTGCAATAACATCTGCAATACATGGGGATAGAGGAGAGGAAAGCAGGATTATCTTGAAAACATTACCTCCTTACCTCCTTATTACCTTGAAAACACTACAAGCCTCTTCTGCTGCAACTGCCCTGTGGCTGAAGGCACTCACCCTTGCTAGTTACCTCCAAAAACTAGGAGCTGTTACAGCTATCTGTGGATTTGGTGCATGAGCTTCTACATCAGCCTATATGTTTTCAAATCCAGGACATGTGCACTTCAATCCTCACCTCTAGGATCCTCCTTTTGACACACCTTTTTAGATTTAGAATTGATTTAAACAGGAAATGAACTCACTGAAGAAGCTGCCCAGCTGTTGTAATTGTGACTGACCAGCTCTTTGGTGACTGAGGATGCATCTACGATGGCAGCAATGAGGTACAAAACGAAAGCACTCCCATTAAAACACAGACCCTGTGGCAAAACAAAAGGAAACAATCAATTCACGTGCAGATACCTTTGTTGCCATTTTATACTGCAACATGACAAAACCATCCTCTAAATATGATGTACACACACAATGTGATTCTTAATGATCTTTCTACTCATGATCTACTCGTGATCTATAACATTTAAATTGAACTGGTTATTTTAACACTGATGTGCATTAAAGCACCTTTTGGACAAACTCTGTTCTCTTCATGACAGTGAACCCAGCAGGAGTGTAAAAGCCAGTGTACCGGGGTTTCCCAAAAGTGAAAATGAGGACAAAGCCTCCTTATCATGATCAAAATGGTTCACACTGAGATATTATATCCAAAAAAAAAGAAACAAAACAAACTGCAATTTGATTACCTTCCTAATCTGTGCAGTGTTACACTGCCAGAGTGAAAGAGCTGTGCACATAGACCACTGTTAGAAAGCCTACAGAACCTCATCTCTATTTTTGCAGAAGAGCAGGTCAAATTTTCAGTCAATATTCTTCCATCATTTAGGATCTCACCTTTCCATTTTTCTTGAGAGGAGAAAGAAACAGATAAAAGCCAGGAAAATGATCTGAATGGATTACATGGGTTGTCAAAAGACCCGTGGCAGATGTTGCATTTTTAGATATGCACTTTTTAGCAGCGCTCACATCTCAGGATACCCACGTTCATTGTTAAGACAGAAACAAAGGAGAAGACATTGATCTCCCACAACACTACAAAGTGCTACTAAAAGAGCACTCCGGGAGTGTTTTTTTCTTCTGGTTTTGCATGCAAGACAGAACAGCAAAGGAAGGAAGCAGACAGGTCAGACAGGACGTAAGACAGACAAAAAGCCACCACTTTCTTTTTTAAAACTAAACAATAGTAATCCTTTGCAATTTAGCTACTTGCTACTTCAAAATCACGACCACAGGAGGTCTAACGTTTAAAAAAAAAATCCACCTTGCTAGTTGTCCAAAACATATGAATTTGGGCATAAAATACCACTTTAATGCACCGCTGCGCTAAGTGGAAAACCTGTGACACATTTTGCACACATTTGCAATTGCACGAATTGGTACCTGTCAATTCAAGACAGTTCCTGCTCGTGTATGTAATCTGCTCCCTGCAGCTTCTGGCCCCATGTTTGCACTCCAGAGCATCATGCAGGTGTCACAGCCCTTAGCTGTGCTGTCCCACTTGCCTCCAAATACAGGCCGGCCCACGCAGCTCCAAATTACTAGCTTGCACGGTGTGACCCAGGAATATACATCAGTTATTCATTCCTGCACTCACGAGCTCTGACAGAATGTAAAAGAAAAGTTGGAGCTCAAGAAGAGAAGTTTGGAAAGCAGTGACAGAAGTTGTATCCACATGTGCAATTCCCCCTGCGCAATACACTGGGAATAACGCTGGAAGTGGCTGCTGTGGAAGCTCCTCACATCTATTTTTGACTTTTGGTTCAAGCAGGCTTAGCTTTAGATCAGATGGATTCCAGGCCACAGTGACCCTTTCCCATGACACAGGCAGTCATGGGAAGCCCTTTCCTCATGGGAAACCATTCGGCAAGCGTGTGCTTGGCCCGCTGCAGGCTCCTCCAGGGAGCACCACGCAGGGCTTTCCACTGCTAACATGGCGCTCCTTCGTCACCTCTGCCCACGTGAGAAGCTTTCCTGTTGTTCCTCCTTGTGACACCGCTTAGTGTCACTGCAGTACCCAAGTGTGGGCATCTCACTGCAGGGGAGAGGTGGCAGCATGAAAACACCTTCAATAAACCCAGGCCTCTCGTCCTGGGCCTGTTTTTTCCAAGTAAAATGAAGCACAAAACATCTTCCTGTTGGGGCTCTGGTCTGGACTGGTGGGACCACTGGTGGGAGGCAAGATGACCAGCAGCAGACACGGAACTTGAGAGGTTGGCCGCCTTTGGGCAGCTGATGCCCTCGTCTCCCTTGCCTCCCGCGGGCGCCTCAGGAGCTCGCAGCCGAGCCCGCGAGAGCAGCTCTCTCCTGGGGGCCCTGGAGCCTCCCTCTTCCACGTGTCAGGAGCAAATCCGATGGTGACAGCGGGAGGCCACAGCAGAACTTGCTGTACAAACCCTGCCGGACACACAGCCACTGACCCCGCCGGACACACAGCCACTGCTGCTGCCGTGCACAGAGCCTCAGGCTGAGGGCAAGGCCTCCACAGGCACACGGAGGGGACTGCCCTGCCTGTCCCAAACGCCTCTTGTGGAAGATGTGCAGGGAAAAGCCAACAAAGGAGCCTTTGCGATGCCTGATCAAATGCAGAGCATGTTGGGGGGCTCTCACAGTGTCCTCTAGTTCCAAAGTCCTTGCAACTTCAGGATATTTGGAAAAAAAAAAGCCACTTTTGCCCAAGTTTCCACAGATTGCTATGGGCAGGCCCCCGCCCATTCAGATGAAGCCCAAGGTCTGGGATTTGAGAGTCAATTTATATACTTACATTAGTGTTTTTACCTCATCCGTATCAGTTGATCATAATAAAAAGTATTATCTCTACTCACAGATCTCACCTCTCTTTGCCTTAGCTGGGCAGTACAGTAATGAACTATGAAAACATAAATTTTCGGACAGGATGCCAGCAGTTGGCAGACTCAGGAGAACTTCTGTAAAGCAATGATTTCCAAATCCTTAATTTTAATAGCCTGGAGTATTTGTTGTTGTTATTTTTAAATTTCCCATTCCAAAAAGACTCATTTACCCTGGAAAGCTACAAATCCCTTCCATGTCTTGTCACGTAGGAAGGGAAAAAAGAACATAATTTTCGAGAAGTGCTGTTTTGGGAAATAACAGTGCTGGGGAAGATGGAGTGCAGTGCAAGCTGATTGGACCTTTACTGCCAATATATTACTCAAACCAAATGGTTCATGCTAAATTACCATCTGCTCCTTAAATTCAAACTTTCCAGATTTTAAAAGCTCCCACTGATTGTTTTAGCGAAGAATTTGCACTGTTAAGGACAGTCAGTTTTGGAAAACAACCTTTGGGTTAATCTGCAGTAAAGTAACCGTGTCTTAAGCAACGTGGTAATGTGCTTAAACTGAAAAAAAATAAAGAATTTAGGACTTTAGGATAGAGAAGTCGAGGTAGCTTCGGGTTTGGGATGTTGTATACAATTAGTAGAGGTTGAGCCACCACCTTAAGAGGTCGAGCAGCAACTGGCAGAGAGTGAAGCTCCGGATAGGCTGGAGCAGGGCAGGGAGGTGAGGGCAAAGTCCCTGACTCGCAAGGTGAGCGTCATGCCCTCCAGGATGGGGACGTCCCCAACATCCCCCTGCGAGCAGACCCAGCCTTCCAGCCAGCAGCAGGCCAGCTCACAGGCTGCTCCCAACCGCGCTTCCTTAGGGCAAAACAAGCTGCCTTCTCAGCATCTTGGTTTTGCCTTGCATTTATTTTCTCTTCAGATCACCTTTTTGCATACAGGGAAACTGCCTTTTGGGCCCACCTGCATGAGAGCTCATCTGTGATACTTTTGTAACTCAGAGCAAGAAGGGCACTCAATGTCACGCAGAAACAAATATTCCAGTTCGTCTACCACATAGATCAGGGACAACTCATTTACGTGCAGCTGTTGCCTGATGATACTGTTAAATTAATAAAAGAGGGATAATGACTAAAACTGGATCCAAATGGATGCAAAAATGTTTTCCCTTTGAATGTACTTTATTTACATCAAATGCAATGAAAAAAAAAGACCACTAAAATCTCTAAATGTAGCCAGATACATTACTGCTGTAATTGAAATAATCCAACATTTCTGTAACAGTGTTATAGCCTTAATGGTAGTGGCTGGTCATGAAAACAGAGACACTATTTGAACACAGTCCCGTTTTTTCTTATTAGTAATTGCTACAGTTGAGGATCTGTTGCAGCACACATTGGGAACACAAAAAAAACCAACAGAATTCCCAATTTTAATCACATACACAGCATAGCTGATAATCAGCTGTTTGCACACACAAATCAAATATACTTTATCAGAACAAACTTCTGGGTAATAATCTTTAGCCAATAAATTAAAAGTAGTATCTCACTGTATCAGGCAAACACAAAGCCAGATTTATAGCAATTCTTGGATGGGTCACAAATGAGTGTTGGTTGAAATGATGGTGATTTTAAGGATTTATTTCCCGAAAAAACAGCATTAGTTACAATGACTGTGTAAGCAATGTACAGTCGGGAGGCATTACTAGCAGAAATTACTCAAACCATAAAACTTGGAGCTGAATTTCAAGTGCTTGTGATTTTTTTTTGTAATTTAGTTAGTTGTTTATCTAGTTTTAATTAAGTCTTCAGCCAATATCAAAGGGAAGTATTTTACATAAAATGCTGCTGCCGATTATATATATGTTATATATATGCGTATACATATACATGGACACACATATGTATATACAGGACACATACAGATGCCACCTCTGAACGACCTTTTCTTTTGCCCTAGCAGAAGACAACTTGTGTTTAAGGTCTAGGGTCTCATTTCCAAATCATGGTGTTGAGTCAAGTAGGGATTTCTAATGTTTAAACCAAAGGGCCAGGTCTGTTGGCTCACAAGAAGCTGCAGACTTAAAATTCTTCATGGAATATAATCACTACAGGGAGGAAAAAGAAAAATAAAAGGGAGGCATGTCTCTTGATCAACCAATGAATGCAATCGTGGAATGCCACAGAAAAATGTTTCAAAAAGCATCTGGATAGTAAAGAGGTCAGAAACTGGAGGTATGCAGCAACACAGTCACTGGGGAAAAGCCAGTAGGAGAGTGGATGAAGTTCAGCTGTAGAACACATCAACATCTGCAGCACCCAGCAAACCCTCCAAAGTGCAGCAATGACAAAAACGAGGTGTATTTACCACCGTGGTCCATGGCACCTGGGGGATCCTGGTGTAGGTCATTGTCATGTAGATGATCAGGAAGAAGACAGTGAGAACCCAGTAGAAGACAGCTACAAACATGACCCAGCCAAAGGCTGGGTATAGGAAGTATTCTGTTCCAGCAATCAGGGTCCACACCAGCAGCCCTAAAATCTGCAAGAGTCACAGAGAAGATAATTGTTATTTAGTTTTAGACCTTGTATTTTCATTCTAGGTCAAAGAATGGCATCATTTTGGGGGTTTTATAGGGGTTTTGGAGGGATGATGCACGCCGCAGAAGATGGCAACCTGCTACTGTAGAGAACAACCACAAGCATAAAACAAAACACAAGCAAATATTGCTTTAAAGAGGGACTGCAATTCCACAGCAACTTAGGCTGCCACAAAGCAGCAGTGTAATCCCAGGCTCCTCTTCACTCCGGCCACACAAAGTGGCTCCCTGGCCCCGTACAGGCAGCGCCCGTCGCATCCCTGGTTGCTGAGCCGCTTTGGGCTGCCGTGCTGACGGAATGCTAAGCCAACAGAAAGCAGGAAAACATTAAACTTTCGGCTGTGGCAGAATGGCACCAAGGGGAAGATGAATTATGTGTCTGAGTGTTGGTTTAGCTGCCCTTTAACAGTTAGGGAGCTAAATCTGCAGTGGTTTGGCTCTTGAAATGAGTGCAATAAGCGACATAGAAAGCAACTGAGAGAAAGCCTCACAGAGATTCGTGCTTGAATAAAAGCTAGGTTATATCCATGAAGGTAACTACTGCTATTTTCCAGTCAGTAAAGTCATTTGGGAAAGAGGACCCTGGAAAGGACCACTGGGATCTTCAGGTCCCATCTGCCGCAGTCATAGGTGCCTGAGCAATTAGGTTGAAAACAGTCCACAAAACACCCACGCTGTGGCCTGGCAGACACCACAGGCATAAAACTGCCCCCAGAACCTCATAATAAACATAAGATGAGCAGTAAAATATCACTAGCCATCACGGTAACGTGCTGCAGAAAGACAGCGGGGCAGGTTGGGAGCCCACACTCAAGCAGAGCCCTCAGGAAAATCCTAGCAGACCATATTCCCTCCTGATCCTGGATTTGGCAATCTGTTCACATGTGGGATATGAATAAAATCCATCAGCCTGAGATTTTAATGTATTCTCTGTGCTTTCCTCTAGGGTTTTGCCAATCTCCAATGCATTTAGAAGGGTGAGGAGCAAACAACACAGCAACCAAGTCACGTGCCAAGGGGAGAAAAGTCTGTTTTGCAAGCTGTCCAACAATTATAAAATCCCAACTGGAAAGACAGGGATATTTTATATTTCATATTATTAAAAAGATAAAAGAAAAAAGGAAAAGGAAGCTGAATGCAGGCAGACTCTAGATCTGAAGTTCTTGTATTTGAAACAAGGCTCATCTCTTTCTGCTACCTGGACTATGATGAACTTCCCTAACAGAGAGACACAGAAGAAAGACAAAAATAAAAAATAGCAACCTGCCTATTTAATAGTGCCCAGCCACACCATAATAACAGATATTTAAAGAAATAACATAAGACCAGAGCACTTAGCATTACTTTGGCATGCTCCCCTAGCTTCTAGGGATCTACTGCAGAGGCACTTCCTGGGCCTAAGGACCTGTTGTTGTCTCTGTAACCACTTGTAACCAATGCTGGTTATGTTGGTTATCTCTCTAACCAATAACCCTGGAGAGATGAGGGCAGTTCTGCCATAGCTTCATTTGCACGAGACCTGTCATTGGAACCATAGCCCCATCTACTTTGCTCCTGCAGAACTGAGTGTGTAATCATTAATGTTAGCTCTCTAACCACTACGTTTAATGTTAAAGCTAAACTATTAAACGAGACGTTATCCTGACTGGGAACACGCATGGTCCTGCTGACTTTCAGCAGCTCGATGGCACCTCTCCCTTGTGTCTTCAGCGTCTCCCAAACTGCCACCCAAACTACGTTGTGTCCTCCGCTGTCCCGTTGTGCCTTCACAGTGTATCCCTATGTAGGATTTACACACCCATCCACATGTGCACCACGCACACCCGACAGCTCAGCACAGATGTGCAGCCCGCTCCTTTGCTCTTCTAAGAGGGCAGCACTTCAAGGTCTTCTAAGGGCAATGTTCTCTTCAACGGGAAGCCCTGGAGCTTGTTCAGAGGGGATAAGGACTCGCACCTTCCCTCCTCGGCGAGCCAGGGGAGGGCAGCATTGCCTTGCAAGAACGGCTCAAATAGCACTAGGTGGGTAGTTTAAAATATCCGCTCTTTTATTACAAGTTACGAGATTTTACTAATAGTCACAGTTCTGGTACTAATGCCTCAATCCACAAACTACCCGTGATTAGATTAGAAACTACAAGCCTGTTTTAGTGTTGCAACCATGGTAAAACTGAACAATCCTGATACACTGTTTAGCAAACAAAATACTATTTTCTTGGGATACAAAGGTGCTTTTCATGGTGTTCATCTACAAATTATATCAATGGATAATTGGTCTCATGTTCAATAAACAATTACGAAAGCCAGATTTAATGTTCATCTGTGTATCTAGCAAACTACTGAGGACAGAAATTCTGAAGATGAGACAAAGAAACTAAAGAGATTATCTCCTTAAGCAGTATAAACTACTAACAATGGCGTTGGTTTCTAGAGACTTTTTAGAATAGATATTACTCTTTTTCATAAGAAATACCAGCCTAGGAAAAATACTTCATTCTGAATTCAACATAAATAAAAGGGATAGTGACAACTCAGCTTGTGCAAATGGTTTTAGAAAAAGTAAAGACTTCACAAGAAATTCTAAAATTGAGCCTGAAAATTTTTGAAGTCACATGATCATTAATCTCAGGCAATCACAAAATGTAGCTAGCCAAGCCATTAACTAGAGCATTAATGTACCCACTGCGCATTGTTTTTCCAGGAATAAACTGGTATTGTCTCCCCTCTTTTGAGATCACATACACTTTAACATTTAAATGGCTCCACCTCTTGCACGTATCCAAAGATTTGTTTTCAACACTTGTGTTTATCTGGGCCACATCAGTGGCCGAACATTTTATCTAAGCAAGCGAGGTGCCCCACAGGTATTTCAGATTTATATTCTTAAGTAGTCCTTGGTTCGTATACATCTTAACTCTGATGGATTGCATATTAGAGCGTGCTTGACATTTTCGGTTAGATCCAGATATTCTTACTGCACATTACTGGAGCTGACAGGCTGAAATAATATTTCAGCTTTGCCGATTCGAGCTGAAAAGGTCAGAGCAGCTCCGGGTCAGCCGTTGGTTCTGCGCGCAGCTGAGTGACACGGCGATGCGTTTCATCCCACATGTAAACACGGGCAACAAATTGGTTTAGAGTTCACGGGGCCGTCAGCATCCACAAGAGACGCAGGGAGCTGGGGCAACACAGATATCGTGTGGAGCCTTTCATCAGCAGCTCGTCTTCTCGGCGCGTTACGGCGTTAAAGGCTGGGCTGGGAACCCGTGGCTGTCCCTGACGTCGGGCGCTCGCTGTTGTGCACGTGGGGACGAGCTGCACATGGCTCACGTATCTGCTAGAGCAGAAATGCAGAGGGAGGCAAATCAAGGAGCCCCAAAAGCCAAGGGCATCACTCAAAACAGCTGGTGGCTGAAGAGGGGATGTGGGATCATAAGCCTGCAATGGCTTTAGCAATTAGGCCCCCTTTTTCCGAGCCAGATGGGAGCCGGGGTTTCACTCATCACTAAAGACAAGCAGTTTTCGCGTATTTATTGCAGTCTGTGATTTCACCTCGGACATCTCTACCATGAGCACTTGGCTGCGGCTGCATCAGGTGCCTGCGTTGCTCGGCTGCACGAAGCTGCCCAGGGCACTAATGCACACTTCAGCACTTGGCAGGTACCATAAAGGGGAAATAACTCTGCAGCAAAGTCCAATACTATTGAGTGTGCAAGTTTCAAACGACATGCTTAATTGCATATTCAAACACTTAAAGAAGTGCCATGTCTTTTTTTCTGCAGCATTGAGAACTTCCAAAGTATTGAACTGCTCGGAGATTAAAAAATAAACACAGGCTTTGTTGCATAGTAGATGAAAGACACAGCTTGTCTCGTGCTGCTGGTCAGCAGGCTGGAAAGCAGGCACGAGCCTGGACCCATCTATTCAATTTTGCTTTTTAAAGCAATTTAAAACTTGTAGGACTGAATTTGTACCTGCAAACTATATCAAAAACCCTATGATGGATTCGGCAGCTCCTCTCCGACAATGTTTCAAAATCTGCAGCAGTCACTGTGACTGCTTAGCCGGGGTGTACAGTTAAAAATGTGCATGCATCCTGCCCAAAAAGTCTCACTGTGGCACAATTGGCAAAATCCCACTGCTCATCTCGTTTCATGAAACAAAAACTCCTTGGCATGTCTGCCTGAAGCTTTCCATAGCCTTGGTGCTGGAGATGCTTCCTAGGCCCGTTCCACTTCCCCATATGTATATAAGTAGTGCAGGATTTACACTCTCCTGCTGCTGGCACAGATGGACCTGATGGCAGGAGGAGACTTCAGGAGCTGAGCGTCTGTGGGAAGATCCATGTCCTGTATCCAGGCACCTGAGCGTGGGTGGAATCCAGCACATGGGAAGCAAGACATCCCGTGCCTCTTTCCTGAGGCTGCAGATTTACTGCTGGCAGAAGGAGAGACCATTCTAGATTATTGCACATCATGGTTTCACTGCTAAATCACAGCAGCACAAGCAGCCTGTGAATACCCCAACCTCCCCTTGTTCCCTGGGCTATTCCCTGCATGCAAAAAAAATTCAGGAAATCCACCATGGACAGGGAGCTCCTGCCTGCTCCCTGCCTTCCCAGCTCACTTCCAAGAGCCTGGGAAGGCAAGGTTGGAGAGGCTTTTCTCTGACACTAAGAGGGCAAGCCAGGATCCCTGAGCATCCCATGTTCAGGATCCCCTTATGTGATGCTGACTACTGTCCCATAGGCATTCATACGGATTTGCCAAGATTAATGATTATTCTCCCAAATATTTCATGTTATGAATCACGCACCAAAGGACAGGACCCTTTATCATGAATCAAAATATGCAAGAAAGAAGAGAGGAGGAAAAAGGGAGTACAAAAGAACAAAGGAGAGGAAGAGGGCATTCCCTTGCTGCTGTCCCTGTAAGCTGAGCCCA